CCAATATGCCCTGCTTGGCATAAACAATTGCCGACGCACCCGAAACCCACAGAAAGCACGGTTTAGCTGTGCAACGCAATTCGCCTCGCACTGAAGGCTTTCTTGTGCCTCTAGGCACCCTTACCCATAGTATACCCATAGCGTGTTCCTGCGGTTGTGTACCTTTGTACCCCAGGTGTATCTAGGTCCCTCGTTGCCAAGCTCTGGACTTGGAGCTCAGATGGTTCCGACCATACCCGAAAGCATCACCCCCGAAAGCCACTTTTGTGGCAACTCCAAAAGGTGATGCTTAAAGCACATGAGAAGCCCTGACCCATGCTGCGTTTCAGCTCAACCGAGATATAGCAAATGCCTTTACGCGAGGCTTTTGGAAAGGCGGCTGCGCGATCCTATCTCCAGCGGCAGTGGTCTTGGATGTGAGGCTTCGTAGAGCTTCAACATCGCTGACACCCTGCTTGTTCGACAAGTTGTTTGTTGCTTACGTTGTATTCGTAAGTTGTGGGAACTTGTTTGCCATGGCCGAGCCGCCAGTTGAGACTTATATTTCCCAAAGGGGCAGCAGTCAAAGGGCATCATGACCAGCTTATCCCTTTGCTGCTTGTCAATTTGTTAAAGAGAGATCTGACTCATTCCGGGCGAATATGTAGATTCACCAACCTGCAATAAGGGACCATCAAGAAAGGAAGGAACCTTCATCATGGGTGAGGTTCGCAAACTGCACCTCGTAGCGAGTTGGCAGCTCCCGTCCTCCTTCGTGCCCTTTGCAAAGGGTACACTACTCTTTATCCCTGGTCACATATGATCAATTTGTCTCCAAATCGGGAACCCCCCAAAATGGGTGGTTTTCAATCCGGCTTCCCTTTTTAAGGCCACCCCAATAAGGGTACCCTTAAACACAGACAGACCAATATAAGACCACTATTGCAGAGCAAAATTGAGGGACGCTTCTGCTAGCGGGAGAAGCCGTCAGAGTCACCTACGCATCGCTAGAGAAAACCGGCGAAGGATCTGAATAGACTGGGGCCGTCACTGCTGTTGCACCTCCGGCTTGTTCAAGTAGGTGCCGATCATGTCGAAGTCGTAGCAGAGTTTCCCGTGGGAGCAAGGGATACGCATGTCGTAGGGGTTCTTGCCTGAAGGATATCCGCAAGCAATTCTCAATAACCGAAAATAAGTTGCCAAAAGTGAGACCCCGGACAAGCATCATGTTTTTGAAAGCATTCAAGCCAATGGAAAGTACAACATCAAGTTGTTTAATTTCGACAAGCGTTGCGACTGTCTAGCAGTGGATTCACAGAAGTCGCCTTTTTGGGAAACCGGAGATAAGCCGATGGGGCCCGCGCAGGACTGAAAGGGTCCGCGATGGGTTCAAGTCCAATTCCCGACGGCGCGTAAGGATTCAATTGAATCCAAACAGCCGGATTGATGGCGACCACTGGTTGATTAATTAAGGGGTGTGTCACGGTGTGTCCCCTTATTGGACCCATATTTGGGGGAGAAGAAATAGGAGCAGCAATTCTATGAGACTCGAATACTTTGCTTGGGCGTGTAATACGCCTCGGAAAAGCACGGTCATCTGCCAATCCCACTATATAAGAGGATCCCTTTCGTGACCCAACAGAAGATTTGAGGGCTGCCTTTGAGGTCACAATACAAGTGCCCATGCTGGGTCTTCCATGAGCCAGCCATGCTTGCTACAAAGACAAGTGCCCAGTCCTGCTGTGTAGGTCAGAATGTCTGTGCTCAAACCCATAACTCGTTCTCTCTTGACTATACGCAAACATCGAACAACATTCAATCGCAATTAGCCTATAAGGATCAAAACGCACCAGTAGCAACTTCAAGGCCGGGCTCTCGAAACGCATTGCTCTTGTCCCCCCCCCTTCAACACCTGGCCCCCGACTTTCCCTCAGCCCCATATTTGGTTTGTCTCTGTCCGTCTGTCCATCTGTCTATCTGTCCGGACATTGGCAAGCCTTGGGCGCCCGGGTTTCGGGAATCCGAAAATCTGGGCGGATCGGATCGCGCGAGAGCTTCGCGAGATGTGGCCTGTGAGCTCGTAGGGCATTATGGCCATGAAGTTGCAGGCGTCGTAGGCGGCGAAGCAGGCGGTGGCATTCACCACTCCCCCACTGGTGGGATCCGGATCCACGCCTCCAAGCGGATCCGAAGCGAAACGGTGGTGGCAATAGAAGCACGACTCCCATGTCACCCTCCGTGTGGGCCCTTGAGGTCGACGCCACTATCCTTCCACCAAATGAAAACCAAGACCAACACCAGTTGATAGGATCCGCTCCCGAGAACTGGAGCATTGGTTAAAACATCTGCACCAATCCAAGCGCAGCCTTCAGTCAGATGCCAAGGACACGCAAGAAAAACTGGGCGACACACCTGGGCGCGCGCGAATTGGAGACTTTGCCACGTCTGTTTTTTGCACGCCTCACACACGCACAAAGTAAGCGCAGGTGATATCCCCAACAGCATGCGGTGCTCTTTTTAGTGCTCGCACCACCCCGCAGAACCTCGTGGAACCCTCGTGAAACCCTCGTGGAACCCTGGTGGAACCCTGGTGGAACCCTGGTGGAACCCCGGTGGAACCCTGGTGGAACCCTCGTGGAACGCTGAGACCCCAAAGCTTTCAACGCTTTCAACTGTTGGGGAACAAAAAATGGGAGAAAAAAAGTAGGGCGAGCGGTGGGCCCCACTGGGCCATTCTTCTAGTTTGAATCAAAAGCGAAACTAACAGTATGTCAATTGCGAGAGAATAGCCGTGCAATGATCTCCCAATAAGCCAATACGCCATAGTGGTGTCATCCACCTCCAAGTCCCAAAACATCGAAGCCAGTTTGGCCTCGGTTGCAAGCGACGATGCCCAGCTCGCAAATTGGCACCAAGCCCTTCCTTGGCAAGCCGAGGCGTGCAAAGGCATCGGAATCACTGAAGGTGTAGGGCTTTCGCAGGGGGTCCGCCCTTTGCATTCCCATGTTAGGCCATATCTCAAATATTTTTCTATATGGTTCCGGTCGGCGAGCGGCCACCCCCCCCCCCCAATGGTATCCCCTCTTACTTGCGCTGATCGGGGTACGACTCTCGAAGCCTTGGCCCTAACCGGAACCCACCAGCGGGCCCACAGCGGGGGGGGGCAGTCCTTTTGCAAGATGACCAGAACCTGCAGGGGGGTGGGGCCCTACCTAACCGGAACCCACCAGCGGCCCACGGGGGGGGAGAGGCCTTTTGCAAGATGACCATGACCTGCAAAACCAGCGGGCCCACAGGGGGAGGAGGGGGTGCTCATGGCCTGCAATGGAGCACTTCCTCCCTTGCCATTCCCTAGATTTTGACACGAAGGCTCGGATGCAAACTTCTCCCAACGACCCAACGGCGTGGTCCACACGAGCAGCAGGCGGTCCCGTAGCGGCCTGTCTTTCCTTTGGCCTGTCAGAGCAGCCAAAAAAAGGTGATTTTCGGTGGATTGTTGCGCTGCACAGTTCGCAACCTCCCGTTCCCTAGATCCTGAGGCTCCGATGCAAACTTCTGCCAATGACCCAATGGTCCACACGAGCAGCAGGCGGTCCCGTGACCGGCTCCCTTTGCATCGGCGTGTCTTTCCTTTGGCCTGTCACAGCAGCCAAGAAGATGTGATTCCCGGTGGATTGTTGTGCTTCACAGTTCGAGCACGCATGCACGGAATCGAACACCACGGGCCCCATGCCCGGCGTCATGTAGGGACCCCAAAAAGGACAGAAGAGGTTTCTTTTCAGTCTTGTTAAAGAGCAGCTTAAAAAGGGGTGGGGTGCTCTGATACGGTTGCGCTCCCCTATTTGGATGACGAAATTGAAAGTCCAGACCGTCAGGAGCCTCCAAAAGAACGTTCCCCTGTTCCATCATCGTTGCGATCCTGACAAAAAAGGCCGCCCCACTGCGAAAGGAGCCCAACGACTTGGTCCACACGAGTAGGAGGCGGTCCCGCGGCGGGCTTCTTTTGCGTCGAAGCTTTTGTGGATGCTTCTCTTTGGCTTCCTTGCAGAGCCGGGAAAAAACGGTGCAACATAGGGCTTGAATGCCTCCAAGGGAGCACTGCTTCCTTTGCCATTCCCTAGATCCTGAAACCGACAAGGAAATTGAAAGTGAAGCCCGTCAGGAGGTTCCAAGAAAGACCCTGTCCCACCATCGCGTGCATCCTCACAAAAAGGCTCCAGTGCAAAACTAATCGAACGACTCGGCCCACGCGATGGTCCTGCGGCGGGCTTCTTTTGCGTCTGTCGTAAATGGTTCTCCTTGGCTTCCTTGCAGAGCCGCGAAAAACGGCGCAACATGAGGTTTGATGGCCTCCGAGGGAGCACTTCCTCTTGTACCATTCCCTGGATCCTGGCAGAAAGGCTCCGATGCAAATTTCTCCCCATGGACTGCAGACAACTGAAGCACAAGGCCCACAAAAAGTAGAGCTGAGGGTTGTCGCAAGGCGCCGCCTCCAAATCTGGAGCTCTAGCAAAAGGCAGTGCGAATAACTGACATGCACGTTGCCTGATTTCTGTTGGCAGGGTCGAAGGAAACCTGCCGGACTCAATGAGAGCTTCGGCGTGCGGGCCTTCCTGGCACAGGAAAGCGCGAGGCAATGGCTGAATCTTAGAAAATTTGCAAATCAGTCCTTGTCAGGATTCATGACCTGCTGAACACGGCGTGGCAGCGAGGCTTCGGGCGCGTGCCGAACCTTGAGCCTCTCCAGCAGTCGCAAGTGGAGCTGCAGCTTGCGGAGCCAAGGCAGCTTCACAGCCGCAAGCGGGAAGATGTGCATGGTTCATGTTTTGAGGACACAACAGCCCTCCAACCACAGCAGACTCTCTGTCCCTACGAAAGTCAGTGCCGCAACGTAGGTACTTTGAAGCCCTGTCATACAAAGACACAGCCCAGAAAGCGTGAAAAGATACCGGAGCATGTTATAGAACCTTAAATGTGCATGTTAAGGAAATTCGTGGACATCCGTCGTACAGGAATTCTTGCAACAGTGCAGAGATTTGAAACACTCAGGATAATGAGGCGTTGCAGGGTTCGAGGGGGGCAACAGCATCCCTGCCCAGGAGCTGGAAGGGGGTAACAGTGCTGCGGATGATCCCCTACGTGCCAGCAGAAATCTGTTCCTGCGTCGAAAACAAGGCAGCCGTCGGCCGGCGAGAGCCCAAAACTGCAACGGGAGGCCCGCAACGAGGCCTGAAACGGAGCCGCCGAAAAGTGCTGATTTGGTGCGTTTCGGCCTCGCTCGGTTGGCTGCTTCGGGTGGCCCAAGAACAGCAAAGGGGGACAGTAGCAGGCCAGCGCCGGAGCGCCAAGGAGCCTGCGGCGCAGTGGTTCAAGCACGCGGCTTCTGCGCACAAGCTTGACGCCTGGAGAAGCAGCATGAGCGCACAAAACTGCAACAGGAGGCCAGAACCAGGGTGCCACCGTAAAGCGCTGATTTGGTGCTGGAGCCTCGCTCGGGCTCTCCCATTGCCGCTTCGGGCCGTCGGTTGGTGAGAGCGCAAAGCTGCCCGCAACAAGGCCCGAAACGCACGGATTCGCAGCGGGAGCTGTGTTTCGGCCCGCGGCGCATTCATTCGAGCAAGCGGCTGCTGCACAAAGGTCTGCGGCTCGAGCCTGGGCCGTGCCACGCCTGGAGAAGCAGCATGAGCGCACACGAGTGCTGCTCTGGAGCCTCGTTCGGGCTCTCCGGGCCGTCGGCGAGGCCCGAAACGGATTCGCAGCCCGCTGAAAAGTGCCGATTTGTCGGGCGCCCGCAGCCCAAGAACAGCAAAGGAGACTAGCCGGAGCCCAAAACTGCAACGGGAACCGCTGAAAAGTGCCGATTTGGTGCGTTTCGGCCTCGTTCGCTCTCCCGTTGCGATTTCGGGCGCCCGCGGCCCAAGAACAGCAAAGGAGGAGACTAGCAGGCCAGCGCCGGAGTGCGAAGGACGCCCGCGGCGCAGTAGTTTGCGCAAAGGTCTGCGGCTCGAGCCTGGGTCCAGAGCCACGTTCGGGCTCTCCCGTTCTCTGGAGCCTCGTTCGGGCTCTCCCGTTGCCGCTGGCCGGCGGCTTCTCCTCAGTCAGCCACCGGGCGCATTTCTTTTGCGCAAAAGAGTTGCAACGGTACCGGCTGTAGCGTTTCAAATCGGTAGCTTTACAGGCAAGTCCAAGCCCCCCATTCCGCTTTTAAAAAAATTGGCCCGAGGCATTTGGGCCTGCCCCCCACACCCCCTGATTGCTAAGCAAAGCTTAGGTAGAAGAACTCCAGCTGATATATATATATATATATACATATATATATATACATGTGTTGCACACCACAAGTGCCAGCGGTATATGGGTTAGTCTTTTTGATGATTCTGAAGGAAAACAAAAAGTAAAACCACAATTTTGAGGGTCCCCTATTCTAAGACACACCCATATTTACAAAGCTGCCCCAAACCAAACACAACCAACGCCAGGGGACAAAGCAAAAGCATGAGAGTTCGAGTGGTGCAATGCCCGAGCCCGCCCCGGTGCGCCACCCTCTTTTTCTACAGGCCTCACATGACACCCCCATGACCCGCATCACTTGCATGACACCAGCACCCCAATTTGCCAACCCAGCCCCTGAAACAGATTGCCAGGCTCATGATGTAGTAGTCTCCCTTGCTCACCACGTTGGCCGGTGCGTGGCCGCCCTCCTTCTGCCCCCCGAAGTGCGCCATCTCGGGGTACCACCTGATACCAACGCCCTGGAAGCGTACGTGGCCATTTGGACCTTTATTGGTGAAGTCCATGTTGCCTTCCCTTGAAGCATGAACCATTTCGCAGGTGCCCACTTGAATCCCACCAAACATTGACTCCCATGATGGTAAGCACGATTAGCGCAGAACACCTGAAGTGTCCACCCCAACCAGGGGAACCTGATTCACGGGGCCAGGCCGGAGCAGAAGCTCCGGCCAGGTCGGAAAGGCTCCCCGATCCCCAAACCATCCCCTGAGCTGATCCCAGCGGCTTGTACTGCTCCAGAGGATCGGTTAGGCCATTACCTGAGCTGGCACCATGCACTGACCAGTTCTTCGCTACCGGCTGATGGCGCACAGGTCCTGTTCATCCTTACTCAACCAAGAGTAGAGCCCTTTGCCAAACTACCCAACCCTGATCATATGAGCCATGATCAGTTTGGTTTGCCCAATAGTCAAGGCCAACATCAAAATCCGCTTGTCAGATTCCCGGAACCATCCGAATCAAGACTTCCGCTTGCCTCTCATAAAGCCCGGACCGCTCCATACAGATCCAAACTCAGTGAGAGATCAAGGGAATAGTTTGACATGTAAAGAATTGAGAAGGCGGCCGCAGCTATTTATGGCTGGGATCATCCCTTACTAACCTTCATCTACCCAGGTTTTGATTGTGGCTCAAATGCCAAATAATTACAACAAAGAAAAACGATTCAGGGAGAAACTGCCCTCCACACACACACATACAGAAACGATCCGATTGATGTTGGGCACGGCTCAGTCAGTGGTGCTAAGAAGGCCCAGCATTCTCTGACATGCTGAGCCACTGACGCGAGGCTTGATTGAAGGCTTCAATGCAGACCACGGCATGGGGTGTACTCAATGTGCGTCAGTGCTAAACAAACAGCACGCTTTGCATGTGTTGCATGGTCAAAGTCAAAACAGCATGGTATCACATCACGCCAATTGGAGGACTAGTCACGGATCCCTCCAGGCTCAATGAAGGGGGATGACCTTCAATCACCAAATGGCCTGGTCACTGGTAAGACCATCGTCCTTGGAGAGCTACAGCTCTTCTTGGGCAACCTCACTAATTCACCTGCAAACAGCCTGGGATAAGGGCTTCCACAACAAAAAGCACACACCAGTTTCCCTCCCAGTTGAGGTCTCTATTTGATTTGCCAGAAAGCACATGCAGGCCACAACAAGCAACCCTGGTTGCAGACGCGGCAAGTGATCGGATATGGATGACGCTTATTATGCTCCCTTTCTCTGGGTATCGTTCAGATTGCCTTTGCAAATTGGATATGTCCTTTGCGCCCCTCATGGTTTACAATCTAACACAATCTTCAAAAAGGCCTCCGTTGCCAATCAACAGGTCATGTGTTACCCCCCCAAAAAAAAAAACGGAGAAAAAAAAGGAAGTCTTGCCAGGCATCCAATGGCCAGACCGGCCAGTGGGATGTGCAGGCCCTCTGAGGCCTGCGGGAAGACCAAGGAAGCACAAAAGGATGGCCAACCGTGATACGTGGGCCATCCCCAACATATAAAAAAGACACCGCATGTGACAGAGACCCACTAGTTTACCCTGAAACAGAAGGATGGCAGGGGTTTCCAGAAATCTGATCAGTCTTTAAAGCATTGGGCCGGAAAGGGGTTGGCTGACAAAATGACCCTCGACTAGTGCAAAGGAACTAGCAACGACAAGTGCCTCAGCCATTTTGACAACCCTGTTCATTTAGAAACAAATGGAGAAGGTACACACACACACACACAAACACACAAGCAAGCAAGCAAGCAAGCAAGCAAGCAAGCAAGCAAGCAAGCAAGCAAGCAAGCAAGCAAGCAAGCAAGCAAGCAAGCAAGCAAGCAAGCAAGCAAGCAAGCAAGCAAGCAACCAATTCAGCAAGCAAGCAAGCAACCAATTCAGCAAGCAAGCAAGCAACCAATTAAGCAACCAAGCAACCAAGCAACCAAGCAACTAAGCAACCAAGAGACAGACAGACAGACAGACAGACAGACAGACAGACAGACAGACAAACAGACAGACAGGCAGGCAGGCAGGCAGGCAGGCAGGCAGGCAGGCAGGCAGGCAGGCAGGCAGGCAGGCAGGCAGGCAGGCAGGCAGACAGACAGACAGACAGACAGACAGCCAGCCAGCCAGCCAGCCAGCCAGCCAGGCAGGCAGGCAGGCAGGCAGGCAGGCAGGCAGGCAGGCAGCAAACAGGACAGACAGACAGGACAAACAGACAGGACAAACAGACAGGACAAACAAACAAACAAACAAACAAACAAGCAAGCAAGCAAGCAAGCAAACAAACAAACAATCAATCAAACAAACAAACAAACAAACACACAACAACAAAAAACAGAAGCACGCCAACACAGAAACACGGACGGAAGCACACAAACAAATAGCAAGACACACAAACACGCAAACACAAACACAAATACAAATACAGGCACAAACACAAAGACACGCAGCAAAGCATAAGCATTAATCAAGGCTAAACTCATGCGTCGACGGAACTGTTGCACGGGTGTCAAAGACACGCAGTTGGCTATCGTGCTGACCCTGCTACTGGTCAACAAGGCTGCAATCTGATCCAAGACGAGGACAGTACCACATAAGCACTCCCGGCTGTTTAAAGATCGGGTCTGCCAGCTGGCAATTCAATCTACATGCGTGCCTTGTTGTAGTCATTGTTTGATTCACTCATGTGTTACGGAGAATCGTGCATGCCCTAAAGCAATGGGCGCGGCCACTATGCGGGCAAGCTGCGTTTCCACTGGTGGTTGGCTTGGGGGATGCATGCTATTCAAGGGCAATGCAGAAGATTTGCAAAAGTGTTGCCAAAGGGGTCTCCTTGGCAGTGGCTTTCTGATTTCCCAATAGGGAGTATGGACACCTCTCCATTTCGAAGCTTTTCAACTCGGATGTCAATGCCACAGGTGGAATCGCCAGATGCACCCGATCGGTTCGATCATTCGCAAGCCAGTGCAGAGTTTCACCTAGCGGGTTAAGGAGCCCGTAGCATCCTAGTTGGCAGCTTTTGAGATCTGAGGAAACCTAAGGGACCTGGAATCTTGGGAAATGCCACAGGAACCCAGTGTAATCTTGCAATGGGTTTGTCTTTTTTGAGGACTCCCATGTTCGAGTGGTGTTGAAGGGAAACCGCTTGGGAATCGACCATCTTTGGGTCATATGCACCCTATTTGGGGAGAGGCGTTGGGACCATCAGCAGGCCTTTCATTTGGGTAGTTTACCCAGGGTGACAATACTTAACGGGGCATGTAATCATAAACATGCCTGGGAATCCGCAATGCCCGGTTTGCCCTGCGCCTTGTTGCCGCTCCAAATTCGGTGCGTAATCGCCGGCACGTAGTGGCCTGGCTTCATTCGGTCCCGTGCCCGCGACCGGCCTGGACCACTTCCAACCCAAATCAAGGACACGTCTTAGTGGTAAATTGGGCCCACTCAGAATCAAGTTTCCCTGTGCTTGGTTGCGGTCCTGCATAGGATTCGCCAAAGACAAAGAACTTTGTCTTCTGGTATTGTGGGAACTCCTGGAAGAACTTCTGCAGAAACCTCGGCAAATCAAGTGCGCGCACCATCCGGTAGGTGTCATTGTCCGACCGCCCGCAAAAAAGGCAGGGTGCCACAGTTGGGATCCCAGTGCCCTTCTTCTTTCAAAGTCATCACAAGAACATAACAAAAAGGCATGCAAATGTAAAAAGGTCCACCCGCAGGGCGCAACAAATCTCTGGACATGCAAGCCTGTTGCCCGCCGCGTATAAGGAACTGATGAATTGAACCACTCGCAGCCAATGCAGAGCTTTGGACAAACGTGCGATTTTCATAAAAGGGAAAAACACTTCCCAAATGCGGTTGGTTTATGTTGATTTCCCTTTTGGTCTCCATAACCACCTAAAAGACTACCCGAGACTAAAAGAACACCTGCCATCTTGAGAGGTCCTCAAAATAAACTTCGGCGCCCATGTTCCCAAAGGTCAAGCGGTGAAAGGTCAAACAATGCCTGTGGGTGAAAATCCTCAGCCTGCATCTACTGCTCTCACAGGGTTCGCTGGATTTGACAGCAGCAAACATATTCTGTCATTCTGCAATATGGCCCAGCCACAGCACATTGTAAGTGCTTGATGTCCGGCTGACATGTGCCATGCTCAATTCTGCAAGCAGTGCTTGGGAAAACCAAGGTGTTACGTGAGCCTGAAGGAGATTAAATCTCCCTTGAATGCGGTACGGATATCGTCGCCTCGATAGAACTACGTCATGGTCGTTAAAATATCCTGCGCTGCAGGCACAAAGACTGTCCTTCGCAAACCTGAATGCACAGGTGGGCCATCACGCGCGTGTAGCATACCTCTTTGGTGCCAAGCCAAAACAGTTCAATCCATGCATTTCCACCTTGAGTTGGGCATCTTGAGTTCGGCTTTTAACATGAGCTGTACACATCATAAACCATTGGTGCTGAATCCTGTTCGGGCAAGTTGCACGAACATATTGTCAGCCACCCCTTTCTCGTTGTGGGTGCCAATGCCAGTAGAGAATCCGACTCCCGCAGGCTGATCCACCCAGATCACCTTAGATTTGGGCCCGCAGTGTCCACACCTGCATCTTTGCCGACAACCAAACTGCAATCTACACATAAGCATCTCCATTCAGGTGCGCCGTAATCAAGTCTTCGTCTTCTGAGTGGAAGATTGGCCTTGTCCGTGGCTCAAGTAGCTGGACTCTGCTCATTGCAACCTTGCGTCCTGCCGAGCCCCACACGAGCTGTAAACCGTTTTCATCGCGGCACAGACCACATGTGGACCGCAAAAAATACGTGATTCCCCAAAATGGGACAATTCGCCCCGATAACCTTACCAGCAACTGACTCCTCACTAAGTCACATTCGCCGCATTGTGCCAGGAGTGCGGATTGGTGTAGGTTGACTGACCTTGGGTAACATCTTGCAATCTGACCTTGGACAAGTTGTCTGGCTGCTAAACCTGAATCCAAGCGGTCAGATTATTGTGGCTCTTTTAGCATCCAAAACGCCGCCGCCTTTTCGTGACATTCCCATAAAACTCTCCAGCCAGCCGCCGGCCCTGCATTGGTTCGCAGCATAAAGGTTGCCTAACAAGGGTGCCATTCTGGCCACATGACTGATTGAAGAAGACACTGCGCTAATGATACGACAGAAAACAAAGCGCCAGAGCCTCATCAGGTTTGCTTGCTTCAATTTAAGCTTCCCTAACAAGGGGTTGGGGTAAATGGCGGGGGCTCCCAGACGTGAATCAATTACCTTTCGTGGGTTGGAAAGTAGCAACTCAAAATGATTGGCCTCTGCAAGCCAGCGCTTGGGGGCCTCCAGCACAAGGCAGCCTTTAGACCGCCCCTTGCCCTGGCAAAAGTCCGATGGGGAACCCGAACTTTTATGAGATGCTTTGGTTTTGGTCAAAAATCCACAGAACCGGCAATGAAAAACATTGTAGGATTCACACCCCCGGAATAGGGCTCAGGCAGTTTCCGGGAGATTCCGCTCCCCCAACCGAAATTCCTGTGAAGGGAGCCTTCATAGCCCACCGGTAGAGGTCCCGATTCGTCCAATCGCAAGCTGACTCTCAAGCTCTTGACTCTGTCAAAACTCAAGGTGTCCCCAAGCGTCATTGCATTGTGAGAAACCTCGATTGCGTGGCAACTTGGTGAGCGTTTACTACAATGTCTGGTTAATATTGACCACTCTCCAAAATCCTGTGGATCAAAACACGTAAGCA